AAAAGAAAAGGGGTGAAAAGAAGAAAAATAAAAAATAAAAATATTCCTCGGCAAAAGATTTAAAAAGAAAGGACATATCTCTTAAAAAATTACATTTTTTAATTTTCAATCTTTCTTTCTTTTTTGTTTGTGGTAAAATATGATATTTTCTGACTTAATTATTTTTGCATAGAGAGAGATAGCTTCATATTCAGGTTTTCAACTTGACAGTTTTGCTCTTCTTTAATATGTTAGCATGTAAACGAATGATTATTGTTATTCAGTTCTTTCTAAAGTGAATATAGTATAAACTTTTTTCAAACCTTGTAAATTTTGGAAAAAAAATAGTATCTGGGCCAACTTCTTGGATCATATATTCCATATTCGATTGGAGAGAGTGCATGAAATTATTGGTTGTTGCTGTGTGTGAGAGACGTGATATTCACGGGTTGATGAGAAAGGGAGAGAGAGAACGAGAAACAAAATAGAATTTTTGTGCCCTTGATAGAGAACAAAAAAGAGAGAAAAACATATGATGTTAGAAAGAGAGGTGGCGACAGAGATAGATGTGGTTGTGTAAGTATTTTTCCCTTGATGATAAAAGGGAAAATTATAAACACCCTAGTGGAACATGTTTTCTAGGCGTGCATATTTTTAATGGCAATGTACTAATCGCAAACCTACTTATTTTTTGATCTAGCGACTATAAAATTTTAGGTAAAATATAAAATGCTTCACTTACATGCAGAAATTACAAAGAAGATTGGTCAACTAGCCATTTTTAAGTTACGGTAAATCCGAATTTTTTGTCTTTTTTAAGTTGCACCTCGGCCCTACCAACGAAGAAACAAAAAAAAAAAATTTCAGATCTATAGAATCCGGAAAGGTCTAAACAATCATTTATAAAAACAATTTTCTCTTTTAAAAATTTTGAAATTTAAATTTTAAGATTTTCGAAATCCAAAATTATTGCTACATTTTTTTTTTTTGGTAAACAAAATTGTTGTGACTTTAAATTTTTATTTATTTATTTTTTTTTGCAATTATGATTTTGAACATACGGAAGTTTTAAAATGTAATAATGGGTAGGGAATTGGTGT